CACACACCGTGAACACACACCCGGAGCAGTGGGCAGCCATTTTTGCTGTGGCGCCCGGGGAGCAGTGGGGGGTTCGGTGCCTTGCTCAAGGGCACCTCAGTCGTGGTATTGAAGGTGGAAGAGAGCGCTGTACATTCACTCCCCCCCCCTACAATCCCTGCCGGTACGAGACTCGAAGAGTCCGACTCTCTAACCATTAGGCCACGACTTCCCCTTTAGAGAGAAATTAGCATAGCTGCTGTTCCCCAGATTACTTAATTGTATTTTACAAGAAAATACTATTTCAGTCTACTTCAAAAATGTGTTTAATTCAACACGTTTCTTTATAATTGTTTGTAAAGTGCAACTATTTATTCATTATTTACAATTTCAAAGTGAAAATAGTTGCAAAGTCAATCCTAAACCAATGTTTTATTCAGTGATATTAGATGCCCAAATTAAAAATATATCAAATCAGTGAATCAGCTTAGCAGCAATGCAGTTATATTCTCTAAAAGTAATCTTCCCTAGTACAGTCTTTGTGTTTCGTAGCTCTTACCAGGTGGTGTTGCCATCCTGCAAGCAGAGGTGGCATGTGCCACCCAGTTGGGGGAAGTGGCGCTTTGCCACAGCCAGCCGTGCCATGTTCACTGAAGGATGTTTGAGATGGTGTGTGTGTATGCGGTCCACGGTCCATTAACAGAAGGACTGATTTGACACCAGCCCCGTCCCCCTGTTTGTGTGATCGTGTGTGTGTGTGTGTGTGTGTGTGTGTAGGACAGGCGACTCCCTTCAGCAGGACAGATTGCTTTGCTGGTCTATGGCGGTGACACCTGCCTCCTGCCAAAATAGACCCACTGCTCACTGAGGACCTGCTGAGAACCGTGTCTGTCTGCCCTGGCAGCGTTCCTATTGGCTGCCTGCCACAAGCTCCGCCTACTTTCAACACCATCTTGAGATGGTTGAGGTGGGGAGGGACTTCCCATAATCCCCATTTGACTGACAGCGGGAGAGGGCCGCTCCCAGAGGGGGATTCACTGCCGGGGGAACAGTAGCCAGATCTACATGTAAAGTAAAGTGGCTCACAGGCAAACACTGGTTATATTCAGAATAGCATACTTCTGTATTACGCAAACTAAATTTAAAGTATGCAAAGTATGTACATTTTCTTCATGCATGTAACATGCATAAGCTTTTTTTTTTAAAAACAGTGATGTCTTTCTTGGATCATTATTTGATATTTAAAATTTACACAAAATTAAATGCAAAATAAAAGAACAGAAAATTATATCAAATATACTCAGTAATTATAAATAAGTCAGTTCAATCTATAATTAAACATTAATTTCATTATTTTAATACTAAAATATTCAAATATTTGAAATTAATAATTTTTAAATAATACAATTATTTCTAAAAATACTCAATAATGTATCAGAATGCTGGCAGTTAAAAAATTTCTACACAAAATTAAATGCAAAATAAAATAACGTAATAATCATAAATACATATAAGGAAATAATTAAAAATATATTAAAATATAATAAATAATTGTTCAAATAACATTACATCTATAATTAAAAAATCTCTTAATATTATAATGATAAAATATTATTCAAATGTTTGTAATAATTTTTTTAATAATACAATTATTAAAAATTATTTGATCAGAATTTCAACAGTTAAGATTTTCTAGACAAAATTTGATGCAAAATAAAATAGCCAAATAACTAGGTCCATAGGTACTGTACAGTACGCTACACTCCTAAAAAATAAAGGTTCTTCATTGCATCCATAGAACCTTTCCATTACACAAAAGGTTACTAAGAAAAAAATATTCTTTTAAGAATTGTTCACTGAAAGGTTGTTTGGGGAACCAAAAATTGTTCTTCTTTCATCACTGCGAAAACTCCCTTTTGGAACCTTTATTTTTAAGAGTGCAAGTGCAGTATGCGATATGTGGTATGCTAGTATTCTGAACATATTCACACTGAACATTTTTCAGTTTCTTTCAAATTAAATTGTTTGGCCACAATCAAAGACAGCCTTGATAAGATATGAGAGTCTTTAAGAAATCACAAACAGAATCTGAGATTGTTTGTTCTGCTCATTATGAAGAGCTGTTGTTTATTTATTTATTTTTAAATCGTGTTAATTTGTGTCACTCAGCACTGCGCTTATTTAATCTCCAGAACAGCAGCGTTTCTGACAGGTTTTACGGCAGATTGTACTCTTGTGTGCTACACGAGAACAATCACAAAGAATGTAAAGTTCAACATTTCATCACTCTGGGTTAATAAACCCCCTGAGGTAATGGGGTATGCAAATTAAGTTGGAAACACTTTTTTGAGTAACGGTTTATGAACGGTTTTTTTAAAAGGTCTAGTTCACCCAAAGAAATCTTGCAGTCTTATAATTCAGCAAATATTGATAGGAATTTCAGTCTCTCCCTCTCACAAATTTATCATATGAATTCAGAATACTCATAATGCACTCTTAAAAATAAAGGTGCTTAAAAGGTTCTTCAAAGTGATGCCATAGAAGAAATTTTTTTTGGTTCCACAAAGAACCATATCTTTCTTACCTTTTTATAATCTGAAGAACCTTCTTTCGCCACAAAGAACCTTTTGTGAAACAGAAAGGTTCTGCAGATGTTAAAGGTTCTTTATGGAACCATTTAGACAAAAAAAGGTTCTTCTATGGCATCGTGAAGCACCTTTATTTTTAAGAGTTTAGTATTATAATGATTATATAGCGGTCAAATTTGCTGAAAAATGATCTACCCTCAGGCCATCCAAGATGTAGATGAGTTTGTTTCTTCATGGGAGCAGATTGGAGAAATTTAGCAGTACATCATTTGCTCACCAGTGGATCCTCTGCAGTGAATGGGTGCCGTCAGAATGAGAGTCCAAACAGCTGCTAAAAACATCACAATAATCCACACCACTCCATTCCATCAGTTACCATCTTGAGAAGTGAAAAGCTGCACGTTTGTAAGAAACATATCCATGATTAATGTGTTTTTAATTTCAAACAATTGTTTCTGACTAAAATATGAGTCTTCTATCCATAACATGTCTTTCTCCAGTAAAATAATTGATTTTGAGATCAATTTTGAAGTCCAAAATAGTTGTAAACAAATAGATTTTGATGTGAGAGGACAACAGGTGATGGACTTTTTCACTGGAGGAAGCGCCATTATGGATTATGGGCTTATATTTTGGCCAGAGGCAATGATTTAAAGTTAAAATGCCTTAATCATGGATTTGTTTCTTACACATATGCAGCTTTTCGCTTCACATGATGTTAACTGATGGACGGGAGTGGTGTGGATTATTGTGATGTCTTTATCAGCTGTTTGGACTCTCATTCTGACGGCACCCATTCACTGCAGAGGATCCATTGGTGAGCAAGAGATGTAACACTGAATTTCTACAAATCTCTTGTATAAAAACTCATCTACATCTCGGATAGCCTGTCAGCTAATTTACATTTTGGGTGAACTATTCCTTTAATATAAAAAAAGAAGGGCAGATTCCACCATAAGCACAAATATTGTTTGTCTGATTCCCTCGCTGTTTTTATTTATTTATGGCCCAGTGGTGAGGTCATGATCATGTGTTTGTGAGAGTCCTTCATTATTTATATCTCAGTGCTCTAGTGCCCTTCGTGCTTGTTTTATGGCTGAGGTGATGTCAGGTGCAGAATCTTTTCATTTCTTCTCATTCACCACCATAAGGATGACACACATTTAGACATACCATCTTGTTTTGTAAATTACAGACAACACGCCAAACCTTCCTGCCCCTTCACATGCCACTCATGCACATTCTGAACCTGAATTATTAATATTACGGTTATTTTTTCCCTGATTATTATTATTATGTTGCAGTTGTTAAGAAACAGATTTCGCCTTCGGCCATCACAGTAGGGATTTTCGTGTGTAGCGTGGGCTTTCAGCGTCGTGCTGCTGTGAATTTTGATGAGACCTTGAAAACTAAATTGAATGTTGCAGCAAGTCTCTCTCTTCTCTATCTGAGGCTTTACTATATCAGTCTCTTTTTCTCACTCCCAAAATACCTTTCTGCTATGTTTTTTTTGTTGTTGTTTTTTGGTACGTTTGCTTACAACACACACAAAACAGAGACACAAACTAATGTGACATATATCATATATAGACTATATCAGGCAGGTAATGTAGGAACAAATTGTAAATATGAAATATTTGAGTCCTTTAAATCACTGCATTGCTATAGAATAGAATAACACAGAAAAGAAACCTTTAAATATTAGAAGGAAAAAAACTGACAAATTAAATGCTATTTCTAGGTATGCTATTTTTTTATTTTAAAAACCCACTCTAATGAAATAATTAACATCAAAGACGGTTATGATAACGGTGAAGTATTTAGCCAATTATAGTCAACCACTTTCTCTCTACACACATACACGCTTTCTCGCTCTGTGTTGGTGAGGTGTTGATGGAGTTTAGAAAGAGAGATCTCAGCACTAACACATTACCATCTCGTCTGCTGCTAAATGTGCTTTCTGATGGCATCAGTGCTTGTCTGCGGCTCTTCAAAGAGGCTTATTTTGCTAAACCAAGACTTTTTGCTCAGAGGTTCTATTTCTTGGAGGTCTCAGATAAAGTTTGTTTGAATATCAACTTTGTCTCAGATGTTTCTCAGATACTGTAAGATACTGTAGCTCAGATCATTTGGTTTTTGAAAGACTTGTGACTTTTTGGTATCTTGGTAAATCTGAGCACAGTTTGAGACATTGTTGAGATATCTTCTAAAACTCTAAATGAGACAAATTTGCAATTTCTAGGGTCTTTTCACTCTTGGAATTCTCTGATGGACGATGACGGAGACGTTTGGTCTCGTTGCAGTCTAGGAGAAACAAATAAGATATTAACAAGCCATCATTTTTCTTTTTCAACATTAAAATGGAGGTCTGTTGTAATGAAATCTGTAATTAAAAAAAAAAAAATCAACCAAATCTCTCTCTCTGTCTCTCAGGAGCTGTCTGAGGTGAACTCCACACAGGTGAGGAGTCAGACGAACACGGCTCGTGTGGATGGATTACGGCCGGGCACCATGTACGTGATGCAGGTTCGCGCCAGGACGGTTGCCGGTTTCGGCAAATACAGCAGCAAAATGTGCTTCCAAACCCTCACAGATGGTATGAACCCCCACGCCAACGCCTGCGTGTGTTTGTGTGTGAGCTGTGTGTATGTGTGTGGAGGCACTCTTTGGATCCGGGTGATCTCGTTCCTCGAGCAGATTTATTTAGAGTTGTTGAAATAAATGCTTCACTGTTCCATTTTTATGCTCAGTAGATTCCAAGTTTGACTGATCATCACTGTGTGTCATAGACAGGTTATATATGTGTGTGTGTGTGTGTGTGTGTGTGCATGTTTGACTGTTTTCCAGACAAACTGCTTAGTTCAATGAACTTCATCAGGACCATGTGTGGCATTCAAGCTTTCCCAGAATGCTTAGCTCATTGATTAGAGAATGATGTGATTAATCATCATCTGTGGGGGGTCCAGTATCTATCTATCTATCTATCTATCTATCTATCTATCTATCTCTCTATCTGTCTGTCTGTCTGTCGTTCTATTGTTCTATCTATTCAGTTTTTTTATCTATCTATCATTCTATCTATTGCTTTTGTTGTTCTGTCTATCATTCTTGCTCTCTATCCATCCATTCATCTATATATAATTATGTCTATCGTTATAATGTTCATTCTATAGTTCTATCATTCTATTGTCTATTTATTGTTCTAGTATTCTATCTGTTGTTCTATCTTTCATTCCATCCACCATTCTATCTATCTATCTAGCTCTTTTTATCATGCTATTTTTTTCTTATTTGTTCCTCCCAGCCAGCTTTCTCATTCTTTAACACTCTCTTCCTCTGTTGATTTTTTCTTTTTCACTCTCTCTCAGCAGAAGTAAATGGATGTGTTTACTGTGTCTTAGGGCTCATTTCATTCATTAGTGGTTGAACACACACACACACACACACACACACACATGTGTGCGCGAGCGCAAGGGAAAAAAAGTCCATTCTTTTTCCTTTTTTGTCAATTTGTTTTTACGGAAATTTAGGCCTTTGCAAACTTTAAAATGGACAACAAGAAACATAAATTGCTCCCCCCTTCTCTCTCTCACTCACACACACACACACACACACACTCGTAACCTCTGTCTCTCTCATGGGTTTGACTAATGGCTCTGTATCTGTAGTCTAGCATGTCCTGCCTGATGACTGTGCCAGACACACACACACACACACACACTGTGGATGCCAAGAGGACTGGACTCTACAGGACAGAAAGACATCCACCAGGCAGCTGGCTAGTTCCTGGGGCTTCACACACAAACACACACACTTTACCTGTCCAGCTCACTTGCACATTCATTTTTTTAAGGCTTTTACCCAACCCTCCTTGTCTTTGCTGTCACACTGGTGTAAATATAACTGAACTGCTCTGGCAATCTGGGACACACACACACAAAGAGACACAGGTCTAATGTTTGAACATGGCCCTGTTGTTAAACGGTGTGATACATATTCTTTCTTGACTATAATTAATGCATTTGCTGTTTAAATCTGCATTTATGCATTTTGCATATCTAATGCATCTTACACTGTATTCAAGGTATACATATTATCAGTTAATGCATTCTGTAAGAATCAAAGCCATGACCTTGGCATTGCTGGCACCATGCTTTACTGTTTAGCTACAAGATATGCAGGATATTCATGGCACACACACCACAAACATGCAATACATGCAACAAACACACAATAAACCATAAAGCACTTAAGTTAACCATGTAGTGAAATCACTTATAGACATGTGCATGCAACAAACGTGCAAATCAGCTATGCAAATACACACACTAAAAATACGCATGGCTGATTTGCGTGTTTGTTGCATGCATGTGTGTATGTGATTTGCATGATTGATTTGCATGTATCAGTTTTGAATGCTTTTTACATGCATGTGCTGCATGTTTATTTGCTGAGTGCATCTGTGTGTTGCATGTTTGTTGTGGATGTGAGTGCAGGTTTGTTGCATGTGTGCGCACGTGTGATTTTAATGGTGGTTTTGTATGTTCATGTTTTCTTGATTGCATGCGTGTTTTGGTTTTTGGATGTTTTATTGCATGCATGTGCTGTTTGGTATTGCATTGCATGTTTGTTGCATGTTCAGTGTGTGTATTTGCATTGTTGATTTGCAAATTTGTTGCATGCACATGGGTGTGGTTTGCATGATTGATTTTTGTGTATTTGCTGGGTGCATGAGTGTATGTTCCGTGTTTGGTATTTGCATGCCTGATTTGCAGATTTGTTGCATGTGTGTTTGTATATGTGATTTTTGAATTGTATGTTTATGTTTTTTGTTGCATGTGTGTGACTTGCATGATTGACTTGTGGTTCGGTTTTGGTTGATTGTTGCATGATGTGCTGCATGTTTGTTAAACGTACAATGTGTTTTGTATTTGCATGGCTTTATTTGGCTGTTATATGTTGCATGCATGTGGGTATGATTTGCATCACTGATTTGTTTCATTTTCAGTGTTTGTTGCATGCATGCATTTCATGTTGTTGTGTATTTGCATGAATGGTTTGTATGTGTGTTGTATGCAAGTGCTTCTATGTAATTTGAATGATTGAATAGTTTGTGTGCTTATGCATCGATGTGTATGTGTTGCAAGTTTTAGGTTTGTGTATTTGCAACACATGCATGCACCTAAAACTGAAACACAAATCAGTCATACAAATCATACAAACATGTATGCAATACAGAAACAAATCAATCAAGTAAATTCACTTAGCCATAGAGTATGCATGCACTCAACAAACAGACAGACACGCACACTTACATCATCGTGCAGTGTTGAAATATGGTATTCACTAACACAAATGAAATGGAAAATACAGACAGAACACAATGATGTCAAACTGATGAAGACAAAACTCCCTGTGCGTGTGTGTGCAGGCGTATCCGTGCCGTCATACTCACTAAAGTAATTAGTGCCCGCGTTTGCCCTGTGCCAACTAACGGGTATATCCACTGGCATTCTGCCATGGCACGACATTCGTTACGACAATTAGCACCAATCACGGGGGAGAGAAGTCCACCTCACGCACACACACCTTCTCTAGAAGCACAACACATGCTCTCCCTGGAGTCTGTCTCTCTCTCTCTCTCTCTCTCTCTCTCTCTCTCTCTCTCTCGTTTTGACAGCCAGGTGTAATGACGAAGAAATGATTCTGTTAAATGAGGGGTGTTTAGGGCCCAGTACACACAGAGACTGCTCTACTTTCTGTTGGCCATTATGGATTTAGCCAGCATGCTAAAAACGACCACGAGTGTGATTGTTTAAAATAGTGTGCTAGTGTGCTATGACACACATACTTACACGCCTTTGCAACATTTTAATACACCTACATGCACAAAAAATGCACACGATATGGGTGGAAATTGTGAATTAAAATCAGTTGTGCTTGCTTCCCACTGGTTTAAAGCGGTCTAGTCCAATGTGCTCCTGCAGTCCAGCACTGTGCTGGTTATATGTAACTGTGTTACACCGTTTCGTCCCATGTTTGGCCATGCTTTGAGTAAGATAAACACTTTAGAAGCACACAAATCAACCATATACATCCAATAAACATGCAACATATAAAAATGTGACTGCTACTTTGCTAAAGTCTAGGGTTGGTAAGTTTTTTTTTTTTTTTTTACCAAAATACAGTAGAAAAAGTATTATTGTGAAATATGTATTACAATTTAACATAACTGTTTTCTATTTTAATATATTGTCAAATATTTATTCCTGTGATGTAATGCTGGATTTTCAGCATCATTGCTCCAGTCTTCAGTGTCACATGATCCTTCGGAAATCTTTCTAATATGCTGATTTGCTGATCAAGAAATATTTCTTATCATTATCAATATTGAAAACAGTTGTGCTGCTTAATATTTTTGTGGAAACTGTGATATATTATTTAAGGATTCTTTGTAAATATCTTACCTGTCACTTTTAAATCAGTTGAATGCATCATTTCTCAATAAAAGTATTAATTTATTCAAACAAATAAACAAAAATAAAAAAACTTTTGTACAGTAGTGTGCATAATGCAACTTACATACAATAATACATTTACGTAGAATGCAATGAAATCATAAGTAACCCCCATTTTTTTAGTTGTTGGGCTGTGTTTACGTAGCTTCATGTAGCTAGCAGCTTTTTCAAGAGATAGATCTGTCTGTCAAACACAGAATGACAAATAATGATGTATATCAGTCTCTTTCGCTCATGCGAAAATGTCTTGTTTCTTCCCACAACTAGCTTTCTCATTGTTTCTGACACTCTTCTTCTTTTATGTTTACATAGCTTTGTGTAGCTAGCTAGCCACATTTTGTTAGTTCTTAGTATTATTTCAGAAAATACTGTGACTGCAGTATATGCTACTTACAATTATGAGCAGCTTATAGCTTAGCATGCTACGATCTCAAAGTAGCTTCCTCAAACCACACAAATGTTTGTTCTCCTGTATATGCGTGAACCGATCGAAGGTTTGTCTGTATTTGAACATCGACTAAAGACATTCCATCCTTGTCTTTGTTGTTTTTAGACTGTGATGGCGGGATTAGCCGTGTTGATGGGCTGCACACATCACTCACACACACTTCACCAGTCGCTGTCATTCGGCTGTGTAACTCAAGTGTTTTCCTTCCCTCCTTTCATTCCGTCTGTCCTTTTTCATCACTCTTTCTCAGTTGACATCTGTCAGCGCTAGGCATTAGTATTACCTGACCACCGTGTTTTAGCGCTTCCTTTTGTATCATTGTATCACTCTATTATCCCTCTCTCTTTTTCTTCTCCTCTGTTTCATTCAAAGCTCGCACCTCCTCACAGTTCTTAAATCTGTATTCTTTTCTTTTTCCGTACATCTTTGTGTGCCCCCCCCACCTCTCTTTCAATCTCCTATTCATGCAGTCCATGGAACACTTCCCTGAATGGCTTCTCTTGAAATGTTTTGTTTACGTTCTTTCATCCCCTGTTTCATCTCTATAGGCAGCGGCTATTTCAGTCATTTCTGTAGCCTAATGCATCCTGTCTCTCTCTGTCTAGACGACTATAAATCAGAGCTGAGGGAGCAGTTGCCGCTGATTGCAGGCTCAGCCGCGGCTGGAGTGGTCTTCATTGTGTCTCTGGTGGCAATATCTATAGTCTGTAGCAGGTGAGTTGGCCATTATGGAACGAACCGTATGACTGCTGCATGTGCCCGCAAGGATGAAAAGCCTCAAACTAGTTCAGACTAGCTGAATGTGTTCCTGGGTCATGCTTTTACTTAAAGTGAATGTGAAATGTCATATACCAAATCATCTGCAATGGAGCCATCTACAAATATGTATTGATAATTTGGTCAGTGATACAAACAGAAACATTGACAAATCAGATATTTAATCTAAAATGTGTAACATGTTATGAATTATATACTCTACTATTCAAAAGTAGGAGATCTGTAAGAGAGTAGAACAGTAATATTGTGAAATATTACAGTATAGTTTATTTTTATGATAGTAAAGCTTAATTTTCAGCATCATTACTTCAGTGTCACATGATCCTTCATAAATAAACCAGTGCTGTTGTGCTAGTCACTAAGCTGGAACCTGGTTAGAAATGAAACGCCCACCACTCTTTCTCTCTCACGCTCTCTCTCTTTCTCTCTATAATGAGCACCCTAAGGAGTTGAAAGACTTAAATTGCTGTGAATGGAGAAAAATTAATGCTGGACATAAAATGGAAATATGGTTTTGTGTAAAATATTGATTTAAAGCGTAATAGAACCTTGCAATAGTGAGGCAGCCGTAATGTGGCAGGGTCATAATGGAGTACGCTTCATAACGCATGGCATTTTAATACCAGAGAGAGAGAGAGAAAAAATATTTTACCCGAGAGATCAGCGAGATGCAACTAATCTGATCTAAATATGCTTACACAGTATCAGACACTCCGCATAAGAGCACAAATGGGCTGATATTCTCAAAGCTTCTTAACCTGAGACAGATCCTTTTATGTATCAGAACACATCAGAGACGGCTGTTCTTTCAAAGCTCAGAAACAATGCGATTACACGGGCCAGAGGTCGGACGTTTGCCGTGTGCAAGCGGTGTATTAAGATGCTCCTGTTCTCAAAGAAAGATTAACAACATTCAAAATAAGAAGAGATAGTGGATGGGAAAGACTACAGTAAACTAATAACCTCCTGGAGTTTATATAACATATGAATTCAGTTCTGATTATATGTAAACTTTATATATTTCAATTTATATAGCTGCTCAGTGTAATATAAAATGTAACACAACATCTCAAAAAAATTAAATTAAAGGGGTCATATGATGTTGCTAAAAAGAACATTCTTTTGTGTATTTGGTTTTTTTCAAAAAAGCGTGTTCCTGCTTCCACACAAAATAGGCATTTTCAAAATGTTATAATAAATGATCTGTGGAGTATTCTGGGGACACCTGAGACTTATATTACACTAGACTTATATTAACTATATAGATAGATGGACAGACAGCTAGATGGATGGATGGATAGATAGATAGATTCATCCATCATTCATTCTGGGCTCTCTCTGAGCTCTCTCTCCTGCGGGACAGGGCTTCAGTGCAGTGGCAGAACAGTTGGTGTTCCAGGCACGCATGGATCAAGTGGCTATGAAATATTAACATATATATTTTTATTTCCCTTTCTCAGCCATAAGAAACGAGTGGAGCTGTTACGATGCATTACTCTAGAGGACAAGGGGAGATAAACTGTTTGCCATTTGAGTTATTGATGAGGAAAGCCGTGTTTCTAAAATTAAAGTACTCTGTAGGTTTATGCACGTGTGTTTGAAATGAATAATTCAACAAACCTGCATGGCTTTTTTCAGGTTAAAGGGTTCATATCATAGATTCCTTTTATAATTTCCCCCCCGATGTCCACTTAAAATGTTAGAAGCTTTGAAATTACTAGGGACCTTGTTAAAAATAAACTTCAGCCCTTCATTTATAATGCCATGATCCTTTTGAAGGATCTGCAGAGCTGTAGGTGCTACACACACTGAAGAACATAGAATAGCATCTTTTATTCTTCTTCCACTGGTTTCTGGTCACTGATTAGCCATTGTTGACATTCAAATGTGATTTGATATGTTAATGGTTTTGCTTTTCTGATGTCAGAAATCCAAATATATTATTATTTTTAATATTATAATATATAATATTATTAATATTTTTGTATTTATTTATTTAAAATAAATTGTATGTGTTCATATAGTGGATCAAGCTAAATAGACAGATATGCTATAACTATTCTAAATTCAGAAATAAATATCAGTAATTTTAGTAATAATTTAATTTTAATAATAATTTATTTAAAATAAAATCAAAAAGTTATTTTGTTGTATGAATGGATGGATGATTATACTATAAATATTCTAAATTATTAAATAAATATAAATTATTTTAATGATAATTTTACTTTACCCATGTTTTCATAGTGGATCAAGCTTGTTTATTAAAATAAAATAAAAATAAGTTATTTTGTTGGATGAATGGATGGATATACTGTACTATAAATATTCGAAATAAATAAATGAATAAAAATTATTGTAATGATACACTTTACCCATGTTTTCATAGTGGATCAAACTTGTGTATTAAAATTAAATAAAATAAAATTACAAAAAAAAAAATATATATATATTTCTAACCACTCTAGATATGACCCATTAAAGTCTACATGAGACAAATATTAGGTTAAAAAAACAATGTAGGATGGGGCTTGATTTTACAGTATCTATTGAGATTTGATGGTTATTTTATTCATTAAATTATTTTTACAGCACACATGGCAACAAAAGAAAAGAAGAAAAGTCATTTCAGAAGTCATAAAAGTTATTATATTTTGATGAAAGATCATGAAAACCAACTTTTTTTATTTATAATATGCATTGTTGAATCACACTTATTTAAAAAAAAAAAATTTTTACAATTTATTAAGACTAAATTGTGTGAATTTTGGTTCATTTCACACTGTTGTCTGAAGTCTAGGGCTGTCAGTAAAGTGAGTGCTGGATGGGTTATTATTGTGCCGGAAGTCTGGAATGTCTCTTGGCCTTCCTGTCACGCTGGGTGACATACCCCGGTCTCTCCACCCTCCAGCGTCCGAGTCAGTGCTCACCTCTTCTGAAGCAGACCTTAGCGACTCTTGCCTGTGTCTTTCAGTGTGATTGCGTCAGCTTCCACACCTGCTTTTGGGTCTCTTCTTATTGGGCAGCGGATATGAACACCTCCTTTTAGAGCTTGTTTAATGTTTGGTTTATTTGTGTGGGTTGCTGGTTCTCTCTGATTCTCTGAGATTACTTTCTGCATCCTTTCCTGCTCACACCCACACACACACTGATATTTACACATGAAGTTTCATCTTCTGCCATGAAGAGCAGTTTGATAGCGTGTCTGCGTTATCTGTTTATGAGGTCCTGTGGGGGATAAAGGCAGAAGAGAATTTGATTCGGCTCTATTGGAGAAGCAGAGAGAGCGAGAGAGAGAGTCTTGTGCTGCCACTGCTGTTTAATGATGTCATAGTCACCAGCTATGAATCCATAATGTTTTTAAAAGGGGAAAAAGGAATAGAGAATAAACACTGTAATGGCTAGCAATGGAGGTTAGATTTATTTCTAGGGTTTGGAGATGAAAGACTGTTCCGTTTCAGATTTCAGTTCCGCTTAACAATTGCACAACAATACAAATGATAATTACAAAATTATACTTACAGTATAATACTATAATAAACAAATAATACATTATTATAATACAAAGTAATACAGTGTATAATTAATTACTTAAAAATGTTCTACAAGTGTTCATTCATAAATACACACACACACACACACACACACATACAGTGTATTTTTAGGTGTTTTAAGTGTTTTTTTTATTTTTTTTTTATTGAGTGCATATATAGAAAACAGTGTTCTTGGCTTGAAATTGACTCAAAATAATGCTATGACTTTCTTTTTTCCATCAAAAACAATAGGAAACTTTTGAAAATGCATTCCATACAATTAAAATGAAAGTGTACTGAAATTTGCAAGCTTCGATGTGGAATCAATGCATCATAAAATAGTGCAAAATTATTTGTGTGGACTACTTTTAGTGCTTCACGTATGCATGCTTTTTTAAGCTTACAATTCATATTCCAGATGCAGAACCGTTAACAGAACTGAATGCCATGAAAATCATTTGGCCTCTGTATTTTTATTTAAATCAATTCACAACCCTATTTATTTCAGTGTTTTATGAGAAACTATTGATGTCATCAGCATCAGGCGATGGGTGCAGTAATCATTTTCATATTTCAGATAATCCACTCTGTTTTAGATTGGCTCTTGTTTAACCACCCTTGTTTATTTACCGTTTCGATAAATGCATTAAAACAAAAATAGTTTATAATAATGTGCTTAGACTTGACCTGCTTTCGTTTAGATCGTAAAGTAGATTTACCATAATGTTTATACAACTGCACTGAAATGAAAACCGTTAATAACGCCACGCTAAAGAGCGTTTCAGTGATTTGTGGAATTTGGTTGTGTTCTAGAACTCACTTTGAGGCCAGATCTGTCCAACTGCCACACGCCCATGGGCTGCCCGACCCTGCCAGGCTCTCCGGGGATGAAGATCTACATCGACCCCTTCACCTATGAAGATCCTAATGAAGCCGTCAGAGAATTCGCCAAGGAAATAGACGTCTCCACTGTCAAGATTGAAGAAGTTATCGGGGCAGGTGTGTTGCTTGTTTATTGCTGATTTTTCTACATGCACGTTAATGCATGGATGACCGGCTTAAAACTTTCTGGGCAAAAGCTTGAAAATAAACAGCATAAACAGACCACAAACCACAACTGTTACACAGCCATCTCTCTCAGACAGATTTGAAGCACATATACCTCTCTGAACTTTTATATGCCCTCAGTACGTCTACATTTCCTCACAAACACAAGTAGGACACACAACGCAGCATCCTGAGGGTCTGTGCCCTTCTCCTCGTCTTCTTGGCGAGTCGCGGTGGAGACGTGTAATGACTCACAGTCTGCTCTGCTTCAGACAGCTCAAGTTAATCCACCGATGCACCTCATATGGATTTCACACAGATCACAACAAATACTCTCAACCTTTTAGCAGTAAAACTCAAGTTAAAGTTGACAAAGTTTCTCTTTATTCTATCCTTTACTATTTTTGCCCATTTTATCTAGAGCTTTATTGGTTTTTAGAACACTTCTGGGGCTTTATTTGCTACATAAAACATCTGCACAAAACAAAAACAGCAGGTCTGAATGAGACGCACTCTCTGACAGCAGGTGGCGCCTATGAACAGGGTTGCCAGGTTTTCGCAATATAACTAGTCCAATCCTGTAAAACCCTAGTCCTGTAAAAATCGCATTCCGGGGGTAAAATACACGTTTTTCGTCGGGGATCTTTAAGTAAAATTCACATTCCAGGGACTAAATATCACGTTATTGCGGTCGCTTCAACCCGCGGACATGAACAACAACCCGCGGCAACAGTGTTAAAGTAGCCCAATTCCGCGGGAAACCGAGTTCATGGAGAACGGGGCGCTCGACTCCTTCCTTAGGGTAAGTGCAACATCCAAAACAAGCAACCTCTGTGTCTCTCTCTCTCTCTCTCTCTCTGTCTGTCTGTTTCATTCTTTCCCTCTGGCGTGGAGAAATATGCTGCTTAATCGATGTTCAGCCCATTTTTTTCAATCTCATGGATTGGTTCTCCTTAGCTTTGATCTGGTGCCGCAATAAAGGGCCTCTTTGAAGTTGGCTTAGAAATCCACCACATCCGAGTAGCGTCGCCATCGATCCACACCCCCACCCCTGTTTGTTGTATGCACCGTGCGTTCGGTTCAAAGCTTTCGCTTGTGCAACATGGCGGCTGTGTACAGAAGTTTCGAAGGAACTGTAAGGTCTCCCACTGTGTGCTGTAAACACGTTGTAGACAGCTACTGATGAAGAACATTAAACACAAATGGTGCACGAAAAGAAAAATCAGTGTCTCTTTTATAGTCGTGCTCATGTACAAGATTTAATTCGTGCTGCTGTTTAGCTTAAATTATTGAAGGGTCTGCCCCTGTATGAAACGATCATTTTATTAATTAATTAGTTTCTAAAAGATTAAAGCACATTCATGTCTCAGAGCAACATGAAGCTGTTTGATTTCACGCTAATTGCAAAGACAGTCTACTGCAGCTGGATCAAGCATACAGTGGAGATAAAGTAGCAGTTTATGGAGAACCTCCAGACTCTGGACCATTTTATACTAGAGCTAATGTAGATGTGAGTCTGTGGGATGTCAAATTTTGATTGGTTTGGCTGGTGTGAATGTTGGTGTGAACTGTGTTGTTCCTTCATGCAGATATGCAATAAAATATCTATCTATCTATCTATCTATCTATCTATCTATCGTTCTGTCATTCAAACACTATCTATCTATCTATCTATCTATCGATCCATCCATCCATCCATCCATCCATCTATCCATCTATCCGTCTATCCGTCTATCTGTCTATCTGTCTATCTATCTATCTATCTATCGTTCTATTGTTCTATCATTGTATTGTTCTGTCGTTCAAACACTATCTATCTATCTATCTATCGTTCGTTCATTCGTTCAGTCATTCTGTCATTCTATTTATCATTCTATTAGTCTATCTGTCGTTCTATCGTTATATCTGTCTATCTATCATTCAGTCATTCTATTGTTCTATCATTCCGTGTCATGCTGTCTTTAGAATCTTTTAAGAAGTCTAATCGTTTTTATCATTCTATCGTTCAAGTGTTCTATCATTCTAATTATTGTCCTGATGTTCTGTCATTTCTGTTAATAATTTAATCTGTCCTTCTATCTATCTTAACTGTTGATCATTTTATTATTCTGTCTATCATATCTGTAATTATGTTTTGATCTGTAATTATGTTTTAGATTTTTCAATCTAAATTTTAAAGGCACTCACAATTCAATTCTGTCAATCATGTATCCTGGAGCATGTCCTGCTTTGACAAATCATGTTAATGCTTTTGAAACAGAGTTAAGTGGAAATAGATTATTATATTTTTAATTAACCAGATACTGCATAACCAAAAAATGTGTTTACAGCTAAACACCAGGAGCTCCTTTAGTTGAGGTTTGACATACTGATGAACGTCATATGATATTTGTGTTTTTTTGTGGCAGCAAAATGATGGGCAGTTCACAGGGATCCAGTTGGTGGGGATGCTGAGGGGAATTGCTGCTGGCATGAAGTACCTGTCGGAGATGAATTACGTCCACCGAGACCTGGCCGCCCGCAACATCCTGGTCAACAGCAACCTCGTGTGCAAGGTGTCGGACTTCGGCCTGTCCCGTTATCTGCAGGAAGACACCTCTGACCCCACCTACACCAGCTCACTGGTAAGACTTTGCCCAGGCACGTCAGACTCACCACCTCATTTCAACAGGAGCCAATAGGTGCCATGTTTTGCACTGTTGCTTGAGGTAATTGAAAAGGCAGGTATTGAGCGTTTGTAATTGCTCCTCATTTCCTCAAGCTTTGGTTTTATTTTCTCATTCTTGTCTGCTTTGTCTTTTATTCCCCAAAATGTCTCCGTAAAGAAACAATGCATTGTCTCCCTGACAGGACATTTCTGGAAAAACTGCATTTAAATTCTGTATGTGATTGAACACAGCCAAGTGACTGGACCTCCAATAGCCTGCCTCCCAAATGGAGCGCTCAGACTTCCAGAATTCTCTATTATGTATCATTAATAGGCATCCAGGGCATCATTAGCCCTCCTGTGCTGCGGATCTTTAATATTAATATGAAATACTATTTTCTCCTGCCTCCTTAAAGACTCTCTATTCAGAGGGCTGTGATATTTTTGGTGCCACGGATTCGTCACGTTCGTAATTATCTGGGTTTACTGATAATTCATTGTCTTGTTCCGCCTTATCTGACCCTGTTATGATTTCTGTATTCAGGCTGGCTTCCAAAGCGCTGGTCGCATTGACAGTCGCACTTTTAGCAGGGTCAACCAGTTCCTTCGTATTGGAGAGAAACAGCCCTGGGTCACATCCTTTATTGAACGCGTTTTAAATTCACTTCAGACTTCTCATAGAAATGTCCCATGCATTGTAAGCAAACAATTTCATTTTTTACACTCGGGTGGTTCCTCAGCGCTGGTGAGCATAGATGTGAGGCAGATGATAAGGAGACGAGACGACAGACAGGGAATATTTAGCTAACGTTTTGTCTCTCTTAAAATGTGTGAAAGCTCATTAAGCCCCAAAGGCAGCCGCCATTCACAAACAGGATGTCCTGCGGTGACTGTTGATTGACAGGAATATGTGGCAAAGGTGTGAACGGGGGTGTGATACTGATGTGACTTTGCTGTCTTCCTTACTGATAGAGAGAGGATTTAATTACCCCCCGGGTTTTTGCCGGGTTTTTTTTCACTTGTCAGCTTTTGATGGCCTCTGTTTACTAGTCTTACCTATCTGTCTGTCTGTCTGTCTGTCTGTCTATCTATATCTGTCCATCCGTCCATCTTTCCATCCGTCCATCTATCCATCCGTCCATCCATTCGTCCGTCTGTCTGTCTGTCGGTCCATGGATAGAATAATTAAAAACCCAAACAGCTCAGTCACATTCAGTCGTTCAGTCTGGACATGCAGTACAGCCAGATTACGATCTGGACTCTGAGGACGGGACATTTGTAAGTACGTCTGCCCGTCCGTCTGTCTGTCACTCTGACAGTTTTTTGCCTTTTTAAATTTGTTTTCAGCTGATTTATGTTCTGTGTCTAACTTGACGATAACAATCTTGTACTAAAACACACTCAAACTCTACCCAGAGAGTTTCTCACCTGAAACTTATTGGGCTTGGAGGAGATGATACAGAGAAGGGAATGAAACTGAAAGGGAAGAAATAAAGAAATGTCCCTCACTTTCCCAGCATGAACACAGATTTCTCTCTCGCTGTCAGCATGACAAGTGCAGTGGCTGTGTGCTGCAAATGGAAAATAAAACTATTTACACTGAGGGGGGATCTGAATGTGTGACACCCCCTCGCCCTGCCATTCTCCTCTCTGTCACTTTCTGTTTCCCTCTTCCTCTTCCTCTCCCATCCGAGGGATGCGATTTGGCGTGCCGGAGTGGGGAATGTGACATGCTCATTTTCTCTTTCCTCTGTTTACTCACCATTTCAATTCCTTCAGTTTTCCCTTACTTGTCTTCTCAGTTCCAGGTGTTGAAGTCTGATGTCCTGTAGCATCTTCTGCAATCGTGTAGTCTAGTTGAGCCAGACTTTTGCCTGTCGGCATCAAGACTGGCTCACATTACGTCTTATTCTAACTAGCCTGAGACATGAAGAGTCCATCTGACCATCATGCAGTTGTCTGGTTTTGTTGGATCCAGTGTTGGCAATACTGTCATTCATGTAGCTCAAGCAGAGCCAAGCTCAAGCTCAAATTCCTAAGGAATTCATGGAGTGATAAAAATAAGGAATTCTTAAAGGGATAGTTAAAAATACACCAAAAATAAAAACACTGTCATTAATTACTCACCCTATTGCCGTTACAAACCCGTAAGACTTTCGTTCATCTTCGGAATACAAATGAAGAAATTTTTGAGGAAATCTGAGAGCTTTCTGACCCTGCATAGACAGCAACACAACTACCACGATTAAGGCACAGAAACATAGTAAGGAATTGTAAGGACAAGCAGAAGAATGCACAGGCATGCATCGTGGTACTCTTGTGAATGGTGGCTGACTGACCCAGAAAAGAAGAAAACGTTGAATAAAGTTGTTCTTTTTGTTTTCTTTGCGCACAAAAAGTATTCTCGTAGCTTCATAATATTAAGGTTGAACTACTGATGTCACATGGACTATTTTAAAGATGTCCTTACTACATTTCTACGCCTTGACCGTAGTAGTTCCTTTGCTGTCTATGGAGGGTCAGAAAGCTCTCGGATTTCATCCTAAATATCTTAATTTGTGTTACAAAGATGAACGAAGGTCTTATGGGTTGGGAACGACATGAGGGTGAATGACATTTTTGGGTAAACTATCCCTTTAAAATTATTAAATTCAAATGTCAAATTTAATCAACATATGAATACTGTTAAACAAAATGGATTTAAGAAATAAGCTTCTCTTTTCTGACAGCATCAAGCGGGTGGGTATGAGTGTTTACGGAACATAACCCTGAGAACAATGTGAAATATTCAGGCTTACTCAGTGATATCCTGTATATTTGTTACTAAATGTCTCAAATAAAACTTTAAATATGCTTTTCAAATATTTTTGTTGACACGAACCTCCATTGGCAAACATTATGAGGCTAAAGCCAGTGGAAAAGAGAATGCATGACCTCACCACTATCAGATTTAGTACATGTACAGTCTGTTCACCTGCTAAATTACATCTTAGGAAGGACGAATTAGGAGAAATGCATCTGTGTGTGTGTATTTGATGTAGTATGATAAATGGCAAGTGTCACAGGTAGCTAAGCCAGTATAAGCCCATCAGTTATTACATTCCCCATCTGTGTGTGTGTGTGTGTGTGTGTGTGTGTGTGTGTGTGTCAGTCCCCTGTGCAGTTCAGCTGAGATGAACATGTGTGCTCTTTTTATGCTTAATCTTTCCTGATCTCACAACAGCTCGCTTTGAGCAATCCTAATAGTCTACAACAGCATTTAGCTGAAAATTCTCAAGGTCAGTATCACAGAGCCAGATTCATTCTGAACGAAGGGTGATGCATGCTTTAATTTATGCCACGCAAGAAGGTTTTTGTTAGAATTGTGGGGTAAAACTAGATCTTATATTTTTCTGAAGAAAATGCTAATTTTTTGCCCAAATTGTATGTTTTTCTGAAGAAAATGAATTATTTTTGCCCAATTATTATTATTATTTTTTTTTTCAAATTCCATCCACTTTATCACGTAGAACAGTAATTGCACACCTCTCCTCCTTTTTTTTTCCTTGGGTAATCTTTATATCCATAGTTCAAGAGGTGAGGTCAGGTTATATATGTTAACCTTAAAAGTATGTTTATATGATTTTTAATAAGTATGAGCAATAGTAATAGTGTTGTCTGCCTTTTTTAATATGTAATTTTGACTGCAACATTTATCATGGTTTATTTTAGTGAATTTAAACTGTCAATTCAGTCTCAATTTCATAGGTTTATGCAACCTTGACTCTTGCCTCTCTTGTAAAATGTGAGCAGACTGGTTAGCAAGTTACTGCGGGTATCAAACAGAGAAGCGGTGTGAGCAACATTTTACCACACCGCCGTCCTCAGCTGTCATTATTTAAACATGCTATCTGACCTTTGACCTGCAGCACCATGTGACAGACTTGAAAACCTCACACAGTGGCGAACAAGCGCTCTTTCATTTAAGCACAAAGAACTCTCAAAGGAAAAGAAAGAGCGTTCGAGTCAAGGAAAAACAAAGAATACTTAACCTGGTTATGAAAGACAAGGTCATAATCTAATATTCAAAATCTTGGATGGGAAATTGGAAGGAAAGGATGATAAAGGATTAGGTGAGTGTGGTTTAATTTGCGCTGTCCCCGTCGGGCGTCTGGGCGGTGGCGGGGCGGTACGGGACCAGGAAGAGGGGGCGAAAGGTTAGCGACGCACGGTTAGCCTGCTGCTATCTGAACCACCTCCCCTGACGTCTGATTTGCCTGCTGATGTTAAAGCAGCACAAATTGGATTGGAATTTGAAATTAATGCAAGTGAAGGAGATATATGCAAATTAGATCTGTGAGGCCCACAGAGAAACCGAATGGCCATGGGTTATAATTTAAAAGCAGTTAGACAAGGTGATCTAGTATTCACTTTGTAGCATTATTGGTTTGTTGACATCAGTGTGGCATGGGTATCAAACTATGAGAAATCTTATATCATGTTACTCACATTACATTAATGTTAAAAATTACATGTTTTTTTTTCATCATCTTTACGTTTAAGTAATGTAAAGTATCGACAGACAGACAGAGAGTCTCCTGTCTCTTTCTGTCTTTCTAATATGCACAGTTTTTCAGATCTAAATATATGCCGCTGTTGTCTTGCCTCATGCAGGCACATTTCCGATGCAGATTGTTTGTGTTTGGGACATTAAACACTAGTGGTGTGTCTTTCTTCTGCAGTTGTTCAAGTGTTGTTTGCTGTGAGCATGTGCCGCTCGGAGAGACAGATCTTCATTGTTCTTTCAGACTGCAGCTCGGAAATAGTGACAGACAGTGGAGCATCAGAGAAACATATGGGTCTATTTCTATAAATGCTGAATAAATGATAAACCACACTGTGTTTGACCAGACATTTCATGTTTCAGTGATTCAGCTGTTTTTATTTTATTTTATTTTAAATGTATTTATATTATTTATTTTCCCCCCATTTTTTAACCACACTTCAAACAAGCTATTATAGGTGTAAGACATTGCCATTTTAGCATTAACCATTACTAGTTCAGTTCTGTTATGTTCACACTACATGGGTTCAGTGTAAAAGTAATTGTCACTAACCTGAAGTCAGTGTTTATGTGCCCTGTCTCTGTGGTGACAGGCCTCTCGTCACAGATAGCAGTCAGTGAAGTTGACCTGTATGACACTGGTCTCTGTCGTATGTAGGTTCATTCCATCTTATATTAGAATCGATGAAGATGAAATTGAGTCTTTCAGGTCACTGAACACAAAGGTCAGGAGAAAATTCAAGCAGAAAGGATCATCAAATCCTTCATTTGTTATATATTTTTCATTTGATAAAAATAATTTCTTTGTTTATATTCAGAAGCATTTTATTTTCCCCCGAAGTCCATTTCCTGTATAAAGTTAGTCAAGGCACCAAAGTGTACCTTAACAGTTACACTTGCTTTTGTTGGTATTTTTTGCTGCTGTGTCTTTAAGACATTGCAAATGACACCTATGATATCTAAACATGAGAGGGCATTTGTTATTGTGCTTTTGGATGTCATAGCGCTCACTGTTGAAAAATGCCCGGTTTTGTGCCTGTCAGATTTCTGAGGTCCTAAACACAAAGCAGGGCATCTTGCGTGTATTGCGTGTCAAAACCGTGATGATTTATTTTATATCTTTTATATCAAAAGAGCAGAGAAAATCTGATTTTGATGTGGTGGTGTGACCCTTTTAAGATTATTGGTCTTTATAAATCTTTGACTGATAATCCTGACTGAGGTGATGCAGAATTATTACAGGAATATTTAAAGTGATTATTGAGTTCATATACAAGGATGGTGTGCTTGTTTTGAAGCCCTTTCATCTCTAAATTCTGTTTAAACCAAATGAGAAAACTCCAACAAGAAAGATCCTTCTCTCTCTTTCTTCTCTTTCATGTTTTTCTGCTTCATATTGACCCACAGAAGATGAAATGGGTTGCAAAAATATAGTGATAGATGGATAGATAAAGAAAAAAGCAGGAAGGATGTAGGGAATGGAGCGATTGTAAGAGTGACGCAAACTCCCAGCAGGCATCTGTCCTTCCCTGATCACTGTTTTGTCACCAAACTTAATAAAAAATGGACAGAGAAAGAGGTCTGAGATTCTATAATCTTGTTTTAGGTTGTTCTCCTTACATTTACTAAAATGTTTTTGTTTTCTATTTATAAGGACATTGAGCGACTGTGGTTTTGCATTTAAAACGAGAAAGCCCCGCCCACAAGCAGTGACATCATTCACAGTCATTTGAATCAGGTTGAAATAGTTTTCCATGAAATATTGCGCAGTTTAGCTCTCGATTCAGTATTTTATTCTTTATTTGCCTCTTCTGCAACTCGCTGAAAGATTTCCTGTTTATTTTTTTATTCAGAAGCTTCATTAAACTGTCATTTAGAAAGTGTTAATCTGGAGGGTACTGGAATATTCCCTAAATGTACATTAAAGAAGGGAGCAAAGTTGTTTCTAAAATCCGGAATGCGTACAATAAGCAAACATGTAGCAACCACATAGCAATTTGCCAAAAACAGTTTAGGACACATTGACTGCATGGAAACAGACCCTAACATCAGTGCCGATTCTAGACTTCTGGGGGCCCTACTGGATGAATGAATGAACGCATTTGTCCGTATTTCAATCCGTCTCGAATCGCGCTCACGGAAAGCGCTTGAGAAACAGTGTCTCTTCCGCGGCTCGGTACGCTTTCAACTCGTTTTTTTAATCTCGAGCAAGACTGTATGACATTCACATTACATGATTTGACTGATTTTTATGTAGAAAGCGCGACAGCGCACCGCATTAAAATAAATTATCATTCATGTTTTCATAACCGCTGGACAAATTCAAAAACGAAACTAAAATTAAATCACCTGGTGTTTCAGGGGCCCTACACAGCTTGCATATTTTGCGTATAGGGAGGATCGGCTATGCCTAACATCATAGCATTGGAAATGTTTTATGGGTAAACAGCACTTACAGTACATTTTCTTTAGAAAATGTAAAAGTTTTAGTTTCATTACTGTCACTTTTTAGCCTAAACACACCAATTCTAAAGCGCACTTCTAGATTGACTATATGCTGCTCAGCTTTTCCTGTCATTTAGTTTTCATCTGGTTGACGTCAGAGGCAGGACTGAACTAATTGACATCATTAGACTGGAACATAAAGCATGTGGATCTCAAACCAGTTCTGTGTGTGTTTTGTCATTGTGTGTGTGTGTGTGTGTGTGTGTGTGAGTTGAATCTTAAAACAAACTGCTGTCAGTTTTAATCAGTGAGACACAAATCCAGCCTCAGGTAGACCAATTACAGACAGACACGCTCCACGGACGAGGCTAGGCCCTCCTCACAAACACACACACATATACGCTGTTGAAAGAATAGGAAAGAGATTTTTATGGCGTTTTGCAAAGCAAAAATAATTGAATTCAGTTGTGCTGAATTTAAAAAAATGCAAATGCAGCCCATTGTTTGCAAATATTTATAGTTGCGATGGATGTAGAGCTCAGTGAGTCGATATGTTCCCGTTGCTTATTTGTTTTGTTCAAACAGCATACTTCCCAGCCGTCCATGTGAAAGTGATATATTTCGCTATTGAATGGTTATGTGTACATAAATGAGTCACATGGATTCTCATGTGCAAAATCAATCCATATGCAAGCATCCTATTACTTCTAACACACCAGTCTGAACTGTCATTTTTTGTTTGTTTCCTCAGGGTGGAAAGATCCCTGTGAGATGGACCTCGCCGGAAGCCATCGCGTACAGGAAGTTCACTTCTGCTAGTGACGTCTGGAGTTACGGTATCGTCATGTGGGAGGTGATGTCTTTTGGCGAGAGGCCCTACTGGGACATGAGCAACCAAGATGTAAGTCCTTTTTTATACAAAACAGAGTATGACTGTCTATTACTGGCTTTGAGTCACACTAGCCCTGAGTAAACTGAATAAAATAAAATATAAAACTACAATATATACTATTCTAATATAAAATAATATATAATATAATATAATAAAGTGGGATAAAACCCGCTTACAACTAAAATGAACCCATGCTGTTGTGCGCAATCATTATTATCTTTGGAATTATACATATATGAAAAGTGAACCTATACAAGAGCAAAAGCTTTCCATGAGGTGGTAACTTTTCAAAAGGTACACATTTGTACCATATATACCCTTAATGGGTGCATTATTACCATAAAGATACATAGTAGTACCTAAATGGTACATTTTAGTAACTTTTGAAAGGGTACCACCCCAGTGACAGCTTTTGTATCTTTTTTTTCTGAGAGTGTAAAGCTTTGCAGTGCATTCATGATGTATGTAAAGTGTATGATTAACTATAAAGCACCAAACACCCTTTGGCTTTACCTCTGAATTTCATTGCCGTGAGTCTCATTTCCTGTCAATCTCTTTGGCTCTATGGCTCACTACTTTGAGTCTTGCCGTCTCTGTCTGAATCTACAGTACCTGCCTCAGAGACTTTCTGCATTCAAATCTCCCAGCATCTGTCTTTCAGAGCAGACAATTTTTTTTTTCTGTTCGAATTGTGAATATAGCAGACTCATTGATTCTAGGCTCTCTGGGGATTTTTGGAAAATCCTGCCAATGAAAACATAAATTCCCCAATCCTTTTAGCATCCAGTTAACACATCAGAGATGCAGAACGAACCCTGAGGAACTTGTGACTGTAATGACTGCCGAACTCACAACTGTAAAAACCGATTTGAGCATTCAGTGATTCAGTACATTCAAATAAATTAAAGAAATGAATTACTTTCTACTTTCTGTACGTGCGTACTTTCTTTTTTTTTTTTCAAAGATTGTCTCCGTTGCTCAAAAGAGGTGTTGTTTGTCATGCTTGACCGACTTAATTTCTTATGTTGCATTTGAAAATTCTGTAGTTAAATATTAATGAAAACCATCTTATGAAGGACTCAGACTGTAAAGCTGTCTGATTCTGGTTTGCAAAATGTTTAACATCTTGTGACATGCACCAAAAACAAAACATCAGAGCTCCCATGTTATACTCTCTGACATAGAAGAACTGCTAAAGGTTAAGTAGTGGATACGTTGGATAATGTTTCTTCGGCCTAGAGTTTTTAATGATCATCCAGTCCCAAATTACCATTAAAAGATCATATCAGCATAATGACACAGCAGGACATCTGCAGTGCTGAGTGCCCACATCTCACCACGGTCCTGTGGAATCAGTTTAGGAGAAAAACGGCCGGCATGGAGGGAGCAGAGAGTATTGATCCTCAAATATTTAAATTAATGTTTGTGCGAAGCAAAGATCTCTAGATTGGTATGCAGAGGCTAGACAGTGTATTTGTTTGTTCATTTGATGTTTACTTGTGTCAGAGAGAATCAGAGAGAGAGGAATATGGGAAGAGTCCAGTGTTTGAGGAGGGTAGAACAACAGATCACGTTTAAAGATTAATGATGTGGGTTGTTTGTTTATGTTGCAATGTCTATGCAACAAAACTGATATATGTGGCAATTTATGTGTGATAAAACAATATTGTGTGCTTTTGGATCTTTTTTTTTTTAATGGTATTATTTATTTCTTGTTACTGAAGCACTCAAAGCCAGTTTCTCACAATGCTTTTGAATTCTCTAAAAGATTCATTTCGTTTTGACCACTTATTTATTCACTAAAAGATTAGTTCATGCAAATGATTTGTTCACTGATTTGTCCAGTGACCCTTTCTGAGTGAATCTTTTAGTCAGTAATCATATTACTTAGGATTGATTTATTTAGTGTTTTATCCATAACATTTGCATGTCGAGGTGGTACCCTTTCAAAGGGTGCTAAGTTGTACAGTTTAGGTTATAATATGTACTCTTAAAGTACTAATATGTACCATTTAGTGGTAAATAAGGTACAAAGATGATAGATTTTATATCTGAGGGGACGTCCCATTGACAGTTTTGTACCTTTTTTTCCACTAAAAGACTCAAGAATATGTTTAAGAGTCAGATACTTCCTCCAGAAATGACAACAAAGCAATTAATGACAATAATATCTGTCTGTGTGTGTAGGTGATAAATGCTATAGAGCAGGATTACAGGCTGCCGCCCCCCATGGACTGTCCCACTGCTCTCCACCAGCTGATGCTCGACTGCTGGCAGAAAGATCGGAACGCTCGGCCGCGCTTCACGGATATCGTCAATACGCTCGACAAACTCATCCGCAACCCCACCAGCCTTAAAGCAGTCGCCAGTATACCCACTATGTGAGTCAAACCAACTCATTATACACACATTTTGTTTTTTACTATGGTGGAAACCTTTATTTATGCTAATAAATCTTTTTTAAAGAAATTAATATTTTTATATCAAGGACTTTTACATTGTTACAAAATATTTATTTCTACTGTTGTTCTTTTGAACTTTCTATTCATCAAAGAATCCTGAAAAAGAATGTATCTTGGTTAACACAACAATGTTAAGCAAGGCAAGCTTATTTATATAGCACATTTCGTACACAATGGTAATTCAAAGTGCTTTACATGAAAAAAGTAAAATAATCATAAAAAATAATCACAAAAATAAAACAAGGAATTAAAAAACTTTGAAAATGATTTAAAATGAATTTAAGACAGTTAAAAATAGAAAATGATTATACATAAAATACAGTGAAATCATTTCGGGTTGCATAAAATACAGTGCAATACATAAAATACAGTGCAATCAGTTCGGACATCGCACAGTGCTCATTCATATTGATAGTACAGGTTGTTCTCATTCATAATAAAGGCTCCTCTCAGAGGATAGCGGAGTAAATTGAGCGTTTATTCAGAGTTGCTCTTTTGTCTTTGTAATTTAAAGGAGGCAATGAAACAGTCACCTAAAATCACATGCTGTAGCAGACATGTCTTGATCTTACTTGGCCTTTTGATGTGCTGACCGTTAATCTAATAACAGGAAGTGCTTGTCGAGTGTTGCTCAGGGAGAGAAGGTTTTCCTGTACCATCTGGCAAAATGCTTGTAGTGGATTTTAGTTTTTACTACTGTTAGAATAAAAAAAATAAACCATGTTTGTTAGTATGGATTATAATGACGGACACTGACAACAGGCAGATGTGTAATAGCAAGGTGATCAACCTTATTTTTATAATTATGGTCACACTTTATTTTAAGGTCCAGTTCTCGCTATTAACAAACCATTAACGCGAGCGGACAGTTTACCTCGCGCATTAAATCAGCCGCAGACCAGAAAATCACTGAGAACGCGCTATAATCCTGACGAGTCATAGCAATAGAGCGGAGGCGACAAAAGCTGCGGAGAATCCGCTCGTTTATATGAATTATTCCGTAAACGTATTCTTTCAAATGGCCTGGCTATGCGGAGCATTCGCAGCTTATATGGACGGAACGCCACTGGCAGAATATGTGATTTATAAGTACTAATAAACAGCCAATATGTTAATAATAGGCATGCTGATAAGCAACTAATTAATACGTTAATAGTGGAAATTGGTCCATACTAAAGTGTTACCTTATTATTATTATTAACAAAGTTAGAGGGCAGTATATTTTAAAGTTTAATATATTAATGTTTTATATATTATATACTATATATTAAGGTTTAAGTTTTGTTTTTATATTTTATTTTAATTTAATTATATTTTAATTTTAATAATTTTTATATTTTTGTGAATTGTTACTTGATTGTGAATTTTACATTTTTGTTGAATTTATATTATATTACTGTTCATATTATACTTTGTGAATTGCTCATTATTAATTCATATTTGTTTATAATACATTAGTTATGTTCATTTATATTTGAAATGTAAAAAAATGTGTTAGTAAGTGTTAGATGCATTTCCTTATTGCAACTAATGTAATGTAAATGTAGCCTGAACATCATCCATTGTGCAATGATAACAGCAGCTCCTTTAACTTGGAAAAATACTGTTAAATTGGTAAAGAGTGATGCAAATGTACATTATAGAGCTATTTAGTGTTACTTTGTTTTTCTTGTGTTCGCAGGGACCTGTTGAGGATAGGTGTGACTCTAGCCGGCCATCAGAAGAAAATCCTCAACAGCATTCAGTCCATGCACCTGCAGATGTCCCAGTGCCAGACAGGCACAGCGCTGGCATGACTACAGGGGGCGCCGGACGACGGGCTGGGCAGCTTGCGGAAGAATTACCAGCGGGTGAGCCCAATCCCATCGGAGCGCGCCAGAATAGAGACTATCATCCTGATCTGAGAACGTGTTTCAGGAGAGGAACCATTATCCCATATCCAACAGACCAGATCGGAACAGGACCGCCGGGACTAACAGGACGTCTGTTAACCCGTCGGCCGTTTGCCTCTTCAGTCTACATTTACAGGGAAAAGTCCTCTTCTCATCATTAATTACCTTTACGATGCTTATCCAGAAATCACAGTGACTGCTCAGATTCCGAGACGTCTAGCATTGTTTTCTACAAGGTTCTTTCGTTCTTCTTTTTTTCAGTTTTTTTTCCACTCTAAACCTTCTATCGTCACTGCTTCCCACTTACACTACCTGTCGATCTCGGTATGGCTGACGTTGCCAAAGGACATCCTGTATGCCTGCGTCCCATCCCTAGGCCATACGAGCGTAAATTATGTATATCTTTAAATAAATACAAGTTTATCTTCAGAGTAAACCTTCATATTGAAGGTGAAGTGTAACGGACCTGTATGTAAATACCCTCTTCTTCCGCTTGCATTTTTGGCAATGTTGCGCTTTGGACAAGAACCACCGATTCTGCAGGACACGAACTCACTTACGTCAGTGCGACGCCACGAGAACAATCTGGGATGAACTCTGACTCTGTCGATGTTGTGTAAATATCAGTTAGTTGTGTATAAACTAGCGTTAAAAAGATATACTTTAGGTGAAAAAAGCTACGCATTCAGGCCACTAAACAGTGTTTATTGTAGGTGTTTCCACGCTGATGAGTACTTACGTGTACAGCTTTTCTTTCTTCCACCTCTTCTTCTTCTACTTCTTCTAGTTGTTCTTGTTAGTTTCGTGTCAGAGTGTTTGAATGCGTCGACTAGCGTTGGGAAGGTGCATCGTCACCGCCTAAACTAGCTAGTACACTTAAATGTAGTTCCACTGTTAATAAGCTGTACTAATGTTGGTCTTACAGGGTCTTTAAAACCGCTAATCTGTTTCCAAGCATGTGTTTACATGATAAGCCAACAGAAAGGTTGCAGGCAGGAAACGAA